AAATCCCATCTTGTGTCACTGAGCATGTTTCTAAGATGATGTACGTTCTCATTTGAGTAGCATCTGTGAACAACTTTCTTAGACAAGTTTGAGAAGGCTTTACTGTGTAACTTTCCGTAAATTTTGGGTAAGACTCGTACAATACAATGATCAGAATTGAAGAGTGGGGCTCTTTTACGAGCTTCGTATATTCCAGAATCATTTATAAATACTAAATCAAGTGAAGTATTTTGTCGAGTTGGGAAATTAACAACATTTTCATGGCCCAGCAATGTAATAAAACTGCAGTCGCTGGAGTTGAAGTCGCCAGTCACTATAGATAAGGAGTTACCAAACGAAGCAGCAGCAAAAATAGTGAATTCATCAGCGAAGATAGATAGTTCTGAGGGACTGCAACAAGGTGTGATATAGATATTTGTGACAAAAATGGAGCTATACTTAGGTAAGTGTTTAGGTCGACATTTTACAGTTATACAGTCAATATTGTCATTTGAGAATTTGAAGCAGACGTTGTTGGCAGTAGACCACTGAGAATTAATAAAAGTGGCAACACCACCACCTCTCTTCTTCTTTGAGCTGCATCGGTCTTGTCTGTAGATTGTGAACCCACTTAAGGAGACTAAATTATCGTCATATGAATCATGGAGCCAAGTTTCTTGAAGAGTGATTACACCAGAATTACAATATACATTTGGGTATGATAAAGAATGCAAGTAGTTAATCTTGTTCGATAATGACCTGCAATTTGTACTCATAATCACAGGAACAGTCATCTGATGCATTGGAGTACACTTCAAGAATCTTTGCCACCCACCATGATGCTTTTTCTTAAGCTTATTGTATATTCGTAAATCATCAGGTTGAAAACATTTTAAATAATCGCGAGAGTAAGTAATGCCATTTGGACACATAATTGAATAAATAAAACAAAATTAATCCGCGGAAATAGATGCAATATGTAGGATGGAAATTTTGGCAGCCCAATATTAAAGCAGGCCGCCGTAGATATGCATACATGTATGCAAGTATTTGTCACTAACGCCTAGGAAATTGAGTTGACTTTAAGAAATATAAAGTATGGGGGTAGCTTGTATTACAGCAACTAAGTTATAATCCATTTGGCAGAGTTAAACGTGTGGGGGAACAATTAGTGGTAAAACTATGTAGAATGATCCTGAAGAAAACAGCTGGTTAACAGAGCTAGTTATGCCAACTTTTCGTGGCCGATTTTCATATGATACACATCAGATATTGCAAAGTAAATCTTCAACTTATATGGTGTTAAAAATACTGGGAAATATTATAAAAATTATACGTTTTAGAGAAGTATATGAGAAAAGGTAGTTGTTGACTGAGTAAAGTCATTTCGACACAAAAAATAGCATTGTATTATTAACTGTATATATATGTAAAATGTCAGAAGTGGTTGCTAATATAATTATTTCCAGAGTTACTTATAACAGCACAACTTAGTTAAAATTATAGAGAATAGAAAATCAGTAAATTAGTTAAACGTTCGATGAGTAAGTAGTAGAGTTGAGTTATACGTATGTGACTATACTGAAGACTTGACTGGCTTTTAATTTCCTTTCTACCAACAGTTGTGGTCTTTTAGGCGAGCTAGGGCGGACATGTTAATGTGTCTTTCTAAGCTCCGTCTGAACCTATTGGGGTTTTCACAACATCTAATTTCAAATGGCTGTTGGTTCCAAAGAGTGGAATATTTAATCGTGAAAAAGTTTGCCCTAATGGATTTTCTGTGGGTAGCCTCCTTGACAAGGTTGTCGTGGTTTTGCAGCTAATATGATTTGATATTTTCCCATATTATGGATGGGTTATTACAACAATGTTTTCCTAATGATTTGAGGAGTAGAAATAAGTTGAAATTCACTCTTGTTAACCACAGAGGTTCTAATTTTAGACGTATACACCTGTCAACATATTCCACTTGTTGGTTGAATCCTATTATGCGTTTCGTGAGGAATCTCTGGACACTTTCGATTTTTTCCTGTCTGCAGACCTGAGGTTACTAAATAGGAGAGCACAACGTCCAAGTTCGTGGTGAATACACGTCTTATATATAGCTAATCTTGCTTCTTGGTTGTAAAAAAATGAGGAATACAAAGCCAGTAAGTCGTTTACAGCCAGATACAACTTTATTTGCATGATCGGAAAAGGTTAAGTCTGAGTATTTTATTTCGGGATCTGTGACTGTGTTCATTTTTGAGAGGAGCTTGCCGTACATAAATAGGTACATTCTCGGTTTTCGGCGTCCAAGGTGGGCTATACCGCAGTCGTCTGAGTTGAAAGTCAGTCGCCACTTTTCTCTCCAATTGCCTCGATTGTTTAAGTCATGTTGGATATTGCTTTCGATGCTCATATCATCATACTCATAATCATGTAGTGTCTTGAGATCGTCTGCAAAGAGGCGTGGCTCACCATACTTGATCACAGAGACCATGTCATTTATGAATAAGAGGAATAGAATAGGGTCAAGAACGCTACCCTGTATCACACCACTAGTTACCGGCTTTGATGAATAGAGCTGATGGTTGGTTTTGACTAACTGCTCTCTTTCTGTGAGAAAAGAATCTGTCCATCTAAGAAGTTTTCCAGTTATTCCGTGGACTGGAGTTTTGTTGGGAGTCTGATGTGTGGGGCTTTATTGAAGGCCTAGCTAACGTCGAGAAATAATGTTGTTACAGAACGCCCATTATCAATGCATTGTGTAATGTGGTCAAAATAATCTAATTGGCAGGTAATGCACGACCTTCTTCTTAAGAAGCCGTATTGGGATGGGGATAGTGGGTCATTTGACAGCAAGTACCGAATGATTTGAGTCTTTACTATCTTTTCCATTACACGTGAAACTACAGACGTGATGTTGGTGGGGCGATAGTTGTTTATATCAGCTATAGGCCCGTATTTATGGGTAGCTACAACATAAAACTTCTTCCAGAAGGTAGGGCATGTCCCATCGCCTAATGAAATTGAGTATAACTTGAGTAAGAGTAAATTCATGTCATTACCACCGTTTTTCAGCAGAATGGAAGATATGCCGTCTGGACCAGTAGTGTTGCTAGGCTTAAGATTTACGACAGCTTTATCGATCTCGTGTGTGGTGAAAATTATATCACTTAAATAATCGTATGCTTTCCGTGAGAAAGCCACGACCTCATCGTTCTCTAAGGTGTATAATCTAGAGAAGTGCTTGCTAAACAGTTTACACATCACCTCAGTATTTTTTAAGTAATGCCGTCTAAGTATATTATTTTCGGATAAGTTGTTTTGGAGTTCGTCAACCTACTTTTGAAAAGTTCGATTATTTCTCCTGAGTTATGCGGTGCACGAATGACCCGCATTTCTTTGTTTCTGAGGCCTACATTTCTCAGCTCTTCAATTCTATTAAGAAAGGATGCAATAGCGATTGATGATAATAAGTCATAATATCTGTAGTATTTTATTGAGTGATTTCTAAGACTTCTCCTTGACGATGTCGAATTACGACCGCTTTGAAGAAATTTGAAGCTAAGGATCTTCTCAGGTGCACTGACGTCATGAATCGAGTTAATATTGTGATAAAACTTGTTAAGAATTGTCTCTAAGGTCTCGCTCGAATCCTAAGAGCCCCATTTAGAACATCTAATTAGGTGCTTGACTCCAAACAGTATTTTTGATTCAAGTGTGAAATTTTCAACATGTGACACCGGTATCTCAAATTTAGCAGGCTGACCATTGACATCCAGTGTGCATTTGATGGGAATCGAACCCCAGACCATATGCATGGTCGGCGGGCGTCCTAGCCGCTGCATGGTTGATTGCTATTAGGGTTTGATTTTCTTATTAAGAACGATCTGTTGGAAGTTTTCTTTATCGATCTTAGTACAACGTTTGATAAAGTATCCCATTTGGGTCTTCTTAGTTAACTCAAACGTTTTGGATTAGACCAACACCTATGTGAGTGGTTAAGCGACTATCTGATGGATTGAAGGCAAAAAGTTAGGGTAAATGGCGTACTCTCAGAGTGGAAGACAGTATTAAGTGGGATACCTCAGGCAACTCTAATTGGCCCCCTGCTATTTTCATCATACGTAAATGAACTGTCGAAAATTCTTACCTCATCTTCCCTATCATTTGCCGACGATATTAAAATATGGAAAACTAAATAATTACGATGATAGGTTTGTACCATAAAGCGATCTAGGTAAACCAGCTGAATGGGCTAACCTCTGGAGTCTAAATATAAACTCCAAAACCGTGCGGTATTGCCCCTGGGCCAGAAGTCCTACGCGCCGTACTCCTTGAAGGACACAGAAATGCCAGATGCTAAGAAACAAAAGGACTTGGGAATTAAGGTAGGCCATGGTTCGAAAACGACGACAAATTGTAATGGAGCCACACCCCATGCTCTTCGAATGCTATTAGCACTTCGAAGGGCTTTCAAACGATTAGACGTGGATTTGTTTCAAGTACTCTGTACAGCACATCTCAGACCTCATCTGGAATACTGCACACAAGCGGTAAGTCCGTGCTTTAAAAAATATGTACATATCCTGGAAAGAGTGAAGAGGGTAGAAATCAACTTAGTTGGTTGTATCTCGCACCTACCTTATGATAAGAGGATGGGGCATTTAAACCTCATCCCATATCATACGGAAGGAAGAGAGGCGACTTAATTTCGATATGCAGTATATTAGAGGGTGATTTGGGGATTTGATCCTTCAAATCTCTGCTGTCTCTCTAGGATACATTCACGAGGTCGCCGCATGAAGGTGCTCAAACAGATTTCGAACAAAATAAGTGTGGAATTTAGATTCTGTTACAGAGCGGTCAACGACTGGGACCTGATAAAGTAATAACGGCTCCATAAGTGAATGCATTCAAAGAGGAGATATATATAGTAAGGACTGACAGGCAATAAGATCCGTTTATCCTTACAGTTTGAATCTGAAGCTAGATTGAGATTTGAAATGTTGAAGGACAAAGTTTGAGGAACTTTAAAATTATAATTTGGCGGACATACGAAATTATGTTGGTGTGTAGTTAGACGTGTGGCTCTTCTTCTGTTGTGATTGTCTGGTTTCCCGTATACCATAAAGTAAGCTGTCTAGTAGTTAGTGCTTTCTGAATTGCAAATTAAGTCCCTTATTTCATCAGGGTAGTATCCTAACTATTCCCAGCTGAGAATAGCTAGCTAGCATTTTTTTCGGGTGCACTGCAGACTTTTTGGGACAGCCTTAGGGGCACTGTCCCACGTACGTAGATCTGGTCGAAGCTGTTTGCCCCAAAACATCTGCAATGTGCCCGAAGAAAACGCTAGCTGGCTTCAACCCCAAGCATACAACGGTTCTACACTTATTCTAAGCCATTCTCCGATAATGACTTTTTATGTTAAATAAAGTTTTTATCTATCCACTATGTTCTGAAATAACGCTTGTCGTGCTTAAAAGGAGCTGGGTGCTCAATTAGGTCTTTTCGTTGTAAAGTAGCACTATAGCGCTACTCCGTGCCCTATATGTCCTGTGACGGCTGGGAAAAAACTGTTAAGCAAACCCGGTAGGTTTTGATCTACTCCTGAAAATGCCTAGAAAAAGAACACGGTGCCAAATTAGTGCCAGTAGTGCTGGTTTCCAGCACTGAGTTCTAGTGTATGCCATCAAAGAATCCATTTCAGAACAGATTCAGAATTTACTCACTAGAGAATGTTAGAATTATTTCAGAATTAGTGAGATTTAATTCAGCACTATAGTTAGCTTGGGTGGAGCTGACCAGTCATGCTGCTCAGCTGGGTCAAGGTCAAGCCGTGTTAACACTTACTGTTTTCTGAATCCTTAGGAAATTTTGTTTAAGACCATGTGGGGATAAATGTCTGTAATTGATGGATATCGTGTATTTTTATGTGTCGGCTGCTGCTACCACGTGGTGGTAGGGCTGGCATATTAGTCACTATTTTGCATTTTTTACTTCGCTTCCATTGTGTGCTACATGGATTTTGGCGACTCAAACTGCTACACATCGATGCAAAGTTCTTTGTTGAAATCAGTCAGTTCTGGGCATACGTTTGCATGCCTGTATACGTATACAGAAGTCGGGGCAAACTTCCGGCGCACTGTAGAGTCCTTAGGGAAGACTGCAGATAACTGTCCGACGTTCTCCAATGTGCCCCGTCTGTTCTTTATTGTTTGGTGTGTCTCAGTAGCATATTTATCACTCCTACCCTGTGACACGGCAGCAGGAAGCGCGGTCGTTGTTAATCTGGGCCACGGCCGATCTGGCATGAAATTTTGTGATTTTGTATTTATCATAATGTTGGGTTGGGTAGCTGCTTTTTGTCTAACCGCTATCCAAACAACCTGCCTGGCATGGTAGGACCTCAAGAGACATAAGTCTCAGCCAGTATAGCTTGATTAAGTCATTGCAGTGTTCAAGCCCACGTCAAGAAAATACTAGCTGGGACATACATAGTTCGAGATGTATGTTGGTTTATCCAGTGTATGCTGAATTACGATACATGAAATCGTGACTTTTATGAGTGAATGCCTCCAATTGGAATATAAAGTCAGACAGTAATTCTAAATAACCAAAATTGTGAGATCTCGGACCGTTAACGTTTGTACGTGTCAGAAGGCTACGTACAACAGCCCTCTGTTCTGTCTTGCTACGAAATTTACTTATACTTGTCATGCAAGTATTCTATATGCGCGGAAATATAAGGGTGAATGCCAGATGTTTTGTATGTGTCATTTTTGTACTGCCACTGCATGGCTGATTGGCATTGATTCCCAGCTTAAAAGCAAACAACACTGAATAGATGGATGAATTGCTCACTTTACTCATACGAGATTTACACCAGTTGGTTCCTAATAAAACAACGCCATGCGTGTACATTCTCTGTCTGTCTGGATTCAACATAGAACTTGGCACCAAAGTGCAGCAGTTCGAGTTGCCACGTTCCAAATACCACACAAAGGTAGACAAGAAGATGAGTAAAGAGAATCAATAGAGTTGGACAAGTATAAGAGTCAAACAAAATGGGTAGTGGTAGAAGGGAATATGAAAGATTACAGAGACTGAATACATCTGCGCCATTGACAACGATTTTGAGCCATGTCACCTATTGTCTCCAGCGTGTACATTGTTTGTCAGCTATTGATGGGATATCTGATTGCTAATATAAATTCAGCTGTACTAACTGGCAAAATTTTTTCTGCTGTTCCACCGAGATTTTTATTTTAAAAAACCGTAGGTGTCATAAGAAGATTCCTTTTATTTAGTTTGGGTTGAACAATATTAAGCGTGAGTTTAGCTTACCAGGTAGATACATGAACCACTTAAAGTCCCATTGGTGCATATCTTGTTGATACGAAACTATAATTACTTTGTAGGAAAGCCATTGGTAAACACTAGTGTATAACTCCTTATCATATAAGAAAAAATCCCCATTAAGTCATATAAAAGGTGTTCAGCAAGAGTTACTTTTATGAACTCTTCGTTGGACGCCTCTGTATAAGGATGTGTAAGATGGTTACCTTCATCTTTTTTCGTTAACTGTCAGACTGCGTGCAATTATGTATAAGATTATAAGTAAAAAATTGCTTTTCATTGTGACTAGTGAAAATAAACTGAATAAAAATAGTGTTATTTCAGTTGTTTAATTAAATTCAATTAGGTTCATTTTCATTGAAAATTAAAAGGTGGGATGAAAGTTAGTAAGTTCACCTTAGAAATGCAAAAAAAACTAAGGGCAAGCAAGTCACAAATTAAGAGATAATTGATTGACAAGCATCTGAGTGAACAGAAACGCATCGTCAATCAGAATGCATTAAAAATGGAAAATCAATTAGAAGAGTATATTAATTGAAAGTGAGTACTCGTCACAGGAATCTCAAAGCTAACAAGCACCTCTTTTATGAATGGACGAATAAGTAGGGATTCTTCTTATAACTCCTAGCCCTTTTATTTAACCTCATTTTAATTTTTCATTATGAGGAACATGGTGACTCAGTATGTAAAATACACGTTCTAGTTATCTGGGTGGATGGTTCCCAAATTCATCCACTGACCTTCCCTCCTTGCCTAGAATTCTACACCTGACTTCATTATTGTAGACTATATTGATCCACTTAATTATAGAATAAATGAAGGCTCATGTGGTCAAAAAGTCTGTGGTTTTATCATCTATCTCCAGCACCTGTTTCGCAGCTGTTAAGTAAGATAGGGAAAACTGCTACAAAGCAGACATTCTTTGGTTGGTAATATTGATATATCTCATAACTTAGCATTAACTGAGTTGTAAACCCCCCTCATTAATTCACCTGATAAGTAGTTGCATTAAGTTTGCATTAACAGTATGCAATAAATGTTATCATTTCTGTACCTTAACAAATGTAATGCTCTGTTTTGATCGCCATAACACGAGGAAAGATTGCTTTTGCCATCATTCGCGGTAAATTATAATTTTACGTATTCAGTGTATTGATGTATCACCACTTACACCGCAGTATACTTTCTGGTCTACATTACTGCATACTATACATACGATTTAAACGATTTTGAAATATTTTCGCTTTCTTAATAAAACATTAACTTTTAATTGACAAACTATGTTTAATTTCTCCCCATAGATCACCTGTAAATATATCTCTGAGGAAACCTACATCAATGCCTAACGATACTCGAAGAGAACTTCTCCTTGGCATAGATAACATGCTTTCTGAGCTAATTCAAGCTGTCCGACTTGAACGTAAAGCTTATGACCACACCGTAAGTTTTCAAGCCCTGTCTCTTAATAACCACCAATATTCATATGATATATATTTTAATTTCGACCTTACCTCAAGTATGAATTAAATGAAACATTTGTGTATTGCGATGTTTGAAGAGGAGTATGGATCCGATTGGTACCTTACAATCAAGTTAAACTTGGTACATAGCAAAAAAATGATTACGTTTTCAATATTGATTTTTATTTTACTGTCTCATTATCATTACAGTAAAGCATAACTATTAGAAAACAAACTTAGTAAATTATGGGTGCCAAGAGATGTGTCACACAAAATCTCACAGTTCGTGCAAAGGCTGAGATACTGCCTGTATGCCAAAACTGAAGCAGGTGGTTGTCTCAAGGGGCCACCCGTCAGGTCTCTGAATTGAGTTCCTATCCACAATGCTGCTGAGCGTTGTCAGGAGCTACGTTCCCACGACTGCCGGTGACCAAAAGAGGTTCACATACCATTCGATCCAATCAGATTCTGGAGCCTATGTACACCATAAGTTTGAAATCGGGGTTTTCCTACTTCCGTATGTAGACTTACATTTCCGCTAGTAGTCCGGTCGTAAGTGTCAAACGTTCCCATTCACCCTTTGACTTTTGTGAGAGATACTTCTGTCTCGTGAATGCAGTGACTAGGGCTTACCTGGCTTAGGCTATGAATGCGTGGTCGCATGAAAGTATTTCGAGGGAAACACCGAAATCTGTCCACCGTTGGCAGCAGTAAATTGTCTATGGGGGCATGTAGGTAGAAAAAGTGCTTTGAAAAACATTCGAATTCATCATCCTCAAGTTAAATACAGTTCGAGGTGAGCATTCACCACAGTTTCCTTCGAGATCCAGAAAATATTCAAATCATAGTAAGTGATCTGCTTGGTACCATAAGTAGGCAATCAAAGAATCCAAGTGGAATTGTGTCATAGTATATGCTACTGATTCATATGACTGACACCATCTACTTTCAGGCGGATCATATGTTGTTATCTGAATATTTTTGCTTTCTAAAGGAAACTGGTAATTAGTCCCTTCGAACCGTTTAAGCTGCAAGTGACCAATTCGGTCCCGTGTATTAATGGTTTGCCCAAATGGCTAGCTAGTATTGGGGTGGCTTGAGCTGAGGGAAACCTAGTACGCCAATAATCTTGGCCGCAAAAGAAGAAAATGGGCATCCGGTTTTTATGTCACTTAGATCTGTCTGGTAAGCAGTATTGGTCGATGTAAGTGGTTTTCAACTAACCAGACCTATCAGCAATATAAACTATCGTTATGAGAAACGGCTTATATATATATATATATATATGTTGTTTGTAAATTTAACCATATTTCATAATATACAATTAAATATCGTGCATAATGCACTCATCACAAGAGCTTAACTTTTATTTCTCTCCTTTGTCTTTTTAAGTTCAATGAATCCGACAAATTGCCAGGTATAAATAAAGTACCTGAGTCACATATGACCCATACTAAATCGAAAAATGAAAAACCCTTTCAATCAACAGTATGTAAAGCTACACAAACTCTGCCTCAGCCAGCAACGTCTCATCTGTTTGATCTTCCAAAAACTAATATTAAATCAAATGCAAAGTATGCCTCACAGAGAAAGTTTGATGTTGCGAAACATTCATCAACCAACATTTCTCCATCTTTACATCAGTCCTGTTTATTGAAATCACATTGTTGTGAAGTAGTCGGCAGTGACAATTATTACACTACAATGTCTTCATCTCATTCAAGTTCACTGTTCAGTTGCAGTTGTAAATATTATCAAGAAAGATATTCCACTCCTAGGTAAGTTTTTTATCAGTACAAATTGTTTTTTTTTTCTAGTGCTGATTTGCAAGGATTTGATTGATCTCACGTTAGATCACGAACTGACTTCATTTCAAGAACCATTAAAAGCCACTAGGAAGTACTGGATGGATGTTTCGTCTTAGTTTGTGTTTCTTCATCAGTAAGCACTCATGACATCACGGGGTATCGAACCCATGACCTTCAGACTGCGAAATGAGCCCATTAACCATTCAGCCACCGGAACGGAATCCACTGGATCATGGGTTCTGAAAAGGTGTTACAGATCATGTAATATTTCCAGCAGTTCACGGTCAAGTCAAGTAATTATTTGATACACATGTTCTCCCCAAGATATATCTGAATTGCGACATAACTGGCTAAGATGGAAAAAAATATTTAAAATACGTATTTTTACTCGTCGTGTTAGTTTTAATCTGTCATGTTTACTTTTTACGCTTTAAATATCACAAGGAATATTAGATTTTACACATGTTATAAATGATGGTAGTCTGTCTTGGATATTTTCAAGTCAATTGCTAGAAATGTTTAACATTATTGACGGTGGGGGGTGGGATTGTCTAATATTAATAGGTTTAGTGTATCTGTATTTTTAACTATGTACATGGAGCATACTAGTACCATCAGAATTTTTTTCAAATCGTGGAAAATACCCGTCGAGACATTAGATTGAAAAGAACAAGAAGTTCAGCGGAACTTCTTGTTCTTTCCAATCTAATATCAGGATTTTGTCAATGTGATCATAGAACACATATTATTAGGAACTTCAGGTTATAGGACAGTATTTCATTTAATTATCTTCTCTTGCTTTGAGTGCTAGTGAAGTGTGGCGACTCGAACTGCTGCACAGCTGTGCAAAGTTCTATGTTGAAACCAGTCATTCAATCAGTCATAGTCATTGTAATGACTATTACGTCCAGTTATTTTTCTTATCTCCTTTACGTATATTTTGAGTCATTCTATTCTACTCTGTGCCAATACCAGGTTTAATAAATTGGACCATTACATAGTAACACAAGGTTCTGTGTTGATTATAAATGACCAAGACTCTAAGACTGTTCTTTAGTGTTCAAAAAACTCAACATCTAGTTGATATCTTCCTGTAATTAAATCATTTGGAGTGCATACTCTAGATCTTGCAAAAGATCTACAACAGATGATAGTTAAGGGGTAAGAAGCAGAATCTCGATTAGCGTGCTCAAAGTAGTTGGGTCTCCGAAGTGATGTGTTGTGCCCAATGTGGCTTTTCGAGACTCCGTATGAATAAGTCAGTCATATATGCTGTTGATTGTGAGCTAGTGGAATGTGGATTAGTGGTTGGGGCTTCGTTTCCAGAGGTATTTTACGGTCGCTTCAGTGGTCATGTGTTTTGAGTAGGTATACTGACCATGGTCAATGGAGGAAGCTTGTGGGTTCGTTTGGTTATGATAAAAAGGTGTCCACAGGCGATTCAAACAAGTGTATCAACTGACTGACTTCATTCTGTCATTACTTGTTCCTTGAATTCTGAATGTAGCATAGGATTTCAACAGCTCATCTCCATTTTTATCTGGTTTTCTGCTGTGTATTTTGGACGACTGTACAATCACTCACAAGCTCTAATTCCCTCCATGTGACCCTTACCCACGCCTATCCGATCGCTTCTGATTGGAATTCCACCTGAAGGCATGCCTGGTGTGTGGTCTCACTTGAAAATATCTCCAACGCCTATGTACCACCATCCATCTTCATTTCCGTCTGCATATTTGTTAAGCTATCTGTACTTTCCTAGTCGGTTTTGTTTACCAGAGCTCCTTGTTACTTAACCTTTCTGGCCAACCATCTGATCTTCAACACAGCGCGAAGACAGCTGTTGATAAAAGTTTACAGCAGCCTGTTATAAATGATTTCGATAACTGTATAAGAGCACTGTCTTATTAGTGTTAAAGAATCGGATTTTTTCTTACTTCTAGTGACTGCCGTAGATCTCCGCGCTGGACCTGCTCATAGTGTAACAGTGCACGAATACTCCACTCTCCTTGTGCAGTCTTTAAGATCTCAGTAGTCGTTACCGTGTGGATCGTGAATGATCTAAAATAAAATAAGAGTGAAGACAGCTAGTAATACTCAATATGATATGTGTTTGTTTGAATCCTCGTACATATTTCTTTTCAAGTATTAGTTTTGTAGGGATTTTGTTTGATTGCATGGAGGAAAATTAATCTGATGCTCACTAGTGACTGGCCCTATTCAGGCAGTTAACCTGGGATTCTAGTGGGAAGCCGTGACTAGTAGGGTACAGCAAGTTGAAGATGAGGTAGTAACTCATTGAAGAAGACATTGCGAAGTGGTCGCGCTATGTCGCGAACTGGCAGAAGTTAGAATTCAAGGACCATTGGATCGAGTCCCAGTGGCTCCAATGGTCTACGAGCTCGCCTTGTAACCAGAAGGTCCTGGGTTCGAATCCCGGTGGGTGCGTACTGATGGAGAGTCCCAAACTGGACGAAACAGCTGTCCAGTACTCCCAGGTTTTCCTGTGGTTCTTTAACTGACGTCAGCTGATGACTAAATCCTCCATGCATATTTCTTTTCTCAACAAATACTGAAGGAATAGTGAATAACGTTATTTTTCTTTTTTTGCCACAACTACTAGTTGCATAAAGTCAGAACTCCCTTTGCGATGTGTAGTTATCAGCCACTTTGTTTAAATCAGATATTTCAAGATTTTTAACTAGTTTTGCATATTAGTCAAATCTGACAGTTTAAATGTGGAATGCAATCGTCTCACTTTATCTGTCTACTTATTTTTTATTAGATATCCAAATGTTGATCTCACTCCAAGTGGATATATTTCATCAAAGCATATTAAAAATCCTGTTAATAAATGCTGTATATCTTCTACAAGTGGTTGTTCAACTGGATGTTCTACATGTTGTCGTAAATACTCAAATTATTCACCGTCTAATGAATTATTACTTCATTGTAAATCTGATTATTCTTGTTCTTGTTATATGCACACTTCATTCTAACATTCATAACACTTGTATCATCCTAACTTTGGTGTAATTGTACAGAAAAACAAATATTTTCTCTTCAAGCATTTTATACTTTCCTACTCTCCTTTTTTTTAAATTACCTTTCCTCTTCTTTTTTTACATTAATATTTTGTTGACCACAATTAATCTCTTTGTACATAGGTCCCTATTTATGGGTCCTCAATAAAATACTACCTAAAACCACATAACGAATTAGTACAAAGTGAGATGCAGCTCTTTGTTTCAAACATTCTGTTTTTATTTGATGGGCCGTGGCATCAAGTCCCACTCTGTCTGTTTCTACATTGGCAACTAGGTAGCATTTATTATTAAGCCTCACACACACCATAAGTGTGGCTATTAGCCTAGATATGAGAAACCTTTCTCGAATAACTGAGCTTAAACGACAAATACTCAAGAATTAGTACAAAAGGTAATTATCAAATGTCTACTGATGTTTTCACATCTTCAAGGGAACATCAGTGTATTGATTATTAAGCTTTAAATCCAGCATTTACTGCCGAATACACCTACTAACACAAATGGGAATTTGGCTTCACTCTTCCTCATCATCGGCGAAGTTTATCTGTTCCGTTTATTTAAATAGAAGAGAGTTAGGTCCTTGACATGACAGTACGATTGGGGAAATGTTTTTTCCTTATCTTTGTAAAATTGTTTGTTATAGTGATCTACAGCGGTAAAGAATATTCGTCTCTCGGAGTCTTTCCAACCATATTTAACGGGACGAAAATTACTGAGATCAGCCCAAGCATGGTCAAATCAGTTTGATGCCATGTAAGCCAGCCAATAGCCTGTTCTTCCGCATAACCAAAATCGTTAACGTTTGTGTTCAGGAAGAATAGTCGGCACAAACGTTAACGATTTTGGTTATGCGGAAGAACAGGCTATTGGCTGGCTTACATGGCATCAAACTGATTTGACCATGCTTGGGCTGATCTCAGTAATTTTCGTCCCGTTAAATATGGTTGGAAAGACTCCGAAAGACGAATATTCTTTACCGCTGTAGATCACTATAACAAACAATTTTACAAAGATAAGGAAAAAACATTTCCCCAATCGTACTGTCATGTCAAGGACCTAACTCTCTTCTATTTAAATAAACGGAACAGATAAACTTCGCCGATGATGAGGAAGAGTGAAGCCAAATTCCCATTTGTGTTAGTAGGTGTATTCGGCAGTAAATGCTGGATTTAAAGCTTAATAATCAATACACTGATGTTCCCTTGAAGATGTGAAAACATCAGTAGACATTTGATAATTACCTTTTGTACTAATTCTTGAGTATTTGTCGTTTAAGCTCAGTTATTCGGGAAAGGTTTCTCATATCTAGGCTAATAGCCCTAACTTAGTGATAGGAGTGAAGTGATAGAACATGTTGACCACTTCACCTATTTGGGAAGTTGTATTAGCACCAACGGACTGATTGGCGATGAAATCTCACCACGGATCCGAAAAGCTCGAGCTGCTTTCGCTGACTTACACCATCTCTGGCGTAGGCGTGACATCCGCCTATCAACCAAGGGACGTGTGTACTGCTCAGCAGTTCGCTCCGTCCTTCTCTATGGATCTGAAACATGGCCAATACGCGTTGAAGACATAAAAGGTTGACTGCTTTCGATCATAGATGTCTGCGATCTCTGTCTCACGTTAGGTGGTTTAATAAGGTAAGTAATGTTGACGTTAGGCGTAGAGTGTTGGGCAAAGAGGGAAAATCAATCGACGAGGCTATAAAGTTACATAGACTGAGATGACTAGGTCACGTGCTGCGCATGCCTAACCATCGCCTCCCCGACGGGCATTACTAGCTGATATAGGTGCAGGTTGGAAAAGAGCCAGTGGTGGCCAAACAAAAACATGTCCTCATCAATCCATCAAATCCTTGATAGTCAAACTGAGTCAGGTAGGGAGATGCAGACTCCCGGGTTGGGGCCCTCGGGACTCTAGGAATCAATGGCTGGAGACAATAGGTGACATGGCTCAAAATCGTTGTCAATGGCGCAGATGTATTCAGTCTCTGTAATCTTTCATATTCCCTTCTACCATTACCCATTCTGTTTGACTCTTATACTTGTCCAACTCTATTGATTCTCTTCACTCATCTTCTTGTCTGCCTTTGTGTGCTATTTGGAACGTGGCAACTCGAACTGCTGCACTTCGGTGCCAAGTTCTATGTTGAATCCAAACAGACAGGCTAATAGCCACACTTATGGTGTGTGTGTGTGTGAGGCTTAATAATAAATGCTACCTAGTTGCCCTTGCAGAGATAAGTGGAGTGAGACTGAAACCCGTGCCCTGAAGACTCTTTCAGAATCATATACAAAGTGTGTACACCTTATTTATTAGAGTCAATATTTAGAATGTTGAACAACAAGTTTGTGGTGAATGGCTTCTGTGTGATTTATTTTTGTCTTCAGTTTCTTAGGATTTGCGATTTCATACAACCAGTCAGACTGATTCATTTTGTTAATGGCCTCAATTCCTGAGGTTTCGTAAACTACATATACCAAGTATTTTGATTCATAGAGCTTTGTTGTTGCGGTTAGGTCTGACTTTGTTTTGTCTATCTCAGTGCGCTGAATATTTTCAAGTGATCGGTTGATTACAGTGTTGTATCTGGAGAATCATTGTAGTTAAGTTGGCCGACAACCACAAAACAGTAACACTGTGTCATAATAGATGTATTTTATGTAGCAATGACAGTTGAAGTTAGTAAATTCCGAAATTTGCGAACTTGCCTTAACTAACATTGATTATCAGACTAGTGCGTAAAACCAGCACCTTAGAGCGCTCGGTCACTCTACTAACTGTTAAAAAGTTAGAACACAATAATTCGAAATAGTCTGTCGGTTAGTTTCATAATGGAACACTCTTTTGGTCATATGGTTGCAGTAGGTATTGTGTGTCCGATGATCTTAGTATATAAACAAAAATCTGCATTTTAGAATTACATATTTTCAACAGAACAGAGCTACATATTTCAGATTTTGGGTTTTGTAGAGATTTTGATCAGTTTCACAATAGTGTAGATTTCTTCATGAGCCAACATCATTTAGGGAATCTTTGAAACTCAAAGTCTAAATATATCAATCTGGTGCTCATCGGTGGTAACACGATGGATACCCTGAAGGAGTGACACCTCTGGGGTCCAGCATGAAGCAGATGCTCCCTGTTAACACTGCTTAGCGATAATGTTCCATTACAAACTGGATGAAGCTAGAACTCGTGGTCCGTTTAATGCCAACTCAATAGCTAGATGATCAACAGGTTCACCTGTTAACCTGAAGCAGCTAGATTTGATCCCTGGTGCAGTCGTTGATAAGCGTAGCCGAAGAGTCTTTGGCTAGGACTAAACTTTTCTCCGGTCCTCCATAGGTTTCAGTGGTTTTGTAAGTGATGTCGGTTGACGATGAAATCTAATACTGTAGATACGTAATTCAATGGCAAACAACTAGTTACGAAATCTCTTTTCATAAAAGGTTTCAACTTCACGTTACTAGGTAATAGTAATAGCTTTTTTCTGGACAGTTATTATATAATGTACAGAATTTTCAGCGGAGTTTATTGCATGATATGTCTTCTTCGTACAAGAGTTTCAAATAAAACGTTAACTTACAGCAGTGTGTCACAGGATCTGCTGTCTGACCTGAAGCGCAAACTAATCCGTCATGATATCTCTTCTTTGTCTCTTCCAAGAAATGCATGATATTTGGTTGAATGTCAATTATAAAAAGTTCAAGAATACACTTTGAGAAGCAAGGACACAACTCAGGAACAGTTATCTCATGTATTAGGATATATTGCCACCTGGGACTTTGTTTCTTCTCAAGATTGGTAGAAAATTGTGAGTCAGCAGGCTGTAAACATTTTAAATACTCGCAATAGTAAATAAATAGCATTACAGGTAATATTTTAAGCGACTATAACGAAATCAAAGAGAGGAATTATACATAACATAGTGATGGAGGTTCTTGGAAGCTTAAGTTTTAGGCAGGCCGCCCACATCGTCTGGTGATAAATATACTCGTATATTTGGTTAAATTATGAGTAACTTTTAAGCCGAAACAAAGATAAACATTCATGTACTTGTGATCAGAGAATTGCTGATACGGAGAAGAAACTCCAGTGTGAAACACCTATCAATGTCTACACGGCTATCATTTTGCTCGTTTGTACGTATAATCGTCAAACTACTCATGAGTAGCTTCAAGTTTATAACGAAATTTTCTATTCACTGCGTCTTTCTAACCATAAAGACGGCTTTATTTCTACGAAACAATGATATTCATTGAATTGTATGCTCAGACAGCTAATAATTTAGTACACTGAAGTTAAAATAAGATTTTTCAAGTAGAGCGATTGTTGTCATTAAGTCACCCATATACTGTAAGCATGCATCGGTGGTTCAATAATAGAATGATTGCCAACCACTCAGTGGTCCGAATTCAATACCTGTCAACGCTTCCCTAAACTTCATCTGGCATACTAACCGATAGTGATTCCAGAAAAGATGCTAGCAGCCTCACCTCATAAAAACAACACCATCTATAATGAAAGCTTGAAGGCCTATGTTCCACTCGAAACGTAAAAGAATGGAATCGATTAAAAGTTAGTGATTGTTTAATTTACCTTGAGTAGATTAAGTACCAATTTTAGATTTCTAGTCGTTTTTAACAGCAGAAACTTTTTATTCCTCTAAATGAAACATTTGTAGCATAAGTGAAACGGTTCATAAATTTCTTTTCACACGTTAGATGTGTAAATGACTTAAAATTCATTTCTATTCCTTTGATATGCACACATTTTCTTACTGCATGTTAAATTCTATCTCCTTTGGTTGACTGAATTTCACTGTAGAAAGGAATAGAGAATTGCACAATTTATCTCGCCAAACCCTATGTGGCATACGTGAAAGTAGAGAAATAGAAAGAAAACTCCAAATGAACTATTATTAGCATAAATGTAGAGTGATTACACGGCAAGTCCCTTTTTTTTCTTGAAATGGTGCCACCTATATCCTTTAGGTATTTTCAGTTGTTTCAATAAATAGGTCAAATTTACAAGCATGATATCATGCAAATTCAAAATGATATGTGTTTAACTTTTCAACTTACTGCATTGCACCGTTCAGATATCATTATCAAGCGACATTTTCAGATGAAAGTGAAACAAATGTAACCCAGTTCAAGGTTTGTACGTCATTAAAAAAATAATAATTTAATGCAGAATTTCATTTAAAAAGTATAGAAAAAAATATAAGTTGCCATTAAATCACCATAGCAAAGGACTACAACTCTACAATTAGCAGGAATATACAATAAACCCACTCCGAAACCACACGTATACTCATAAGGTGACTCCATTTATGTTTCCCACACAAAATTATGCTAGACCAATAATGATAAAAACAACTTAATCTGATTGAACACATTTAATGTGTTGCGTTGATCATCTTCGTGAAAGTAAGGAGGACATGATTTGCAGTGTATAAAATGTGCACATTTTATTTTAAGGCTTCTCTTCAGTTGCAGATAGCTTTAAAATATA